CGCGCATGTGGTGTCCCCCCTCTTTACAAAAACAAACCTGTGTGTGTGTGTGTGTGTGTGTGTGTGTGTGTGTGTGTGTGTGTGTGTGTGTGTGTGTGTGTGTGATAAACAGAGCAATGGCTAATGCAGACGACTTTAACTTTGATTGAAGGCGAGTGAAGGAGAGGTCTGCCTGAATCTCTCCCAGTAAAGACTGTCGGTTCGAGCTGTTCAGATCTATAAGGTGCTGACCTCTTCCTGATCAGCAGTCGGTGAGCAGCGATTTGTCTGTCCCATCCTTCTGTATACGCTCTCCTCCATCTTTGTCACTTCATCCTCTCTTTGTTGCTTTTGGCTGCTGTCCATCTCTCTCTGGGATGTGTCTCCATGTCCTCTAGGAGCAGTCAATTGTGGATCCCTCACATTCTCTGCAATGGGATACGACAGTAAAGACCACACGTGAAGGATTCACGGACGTATCCGAGAAAAGAAGATGTATGTGGCATTCAGTACGCTCCCCTGGGGTCAGGTACGTAAAGGTGAACAGGAACTGCTCATATGTTTGCTCTGTGAAGTTGCAGAACTGCTCCAGAGCTTCAGTTATGCCTTGGTCATGGTCGTCCACAACTGAACCATTAACTAAACCTGGCATCCTGTCAAACCTATTCACATTCAGAAAAAAAGAAATAGAGAAAGGAACAGAGTGAGAGATTTGCCTGGCACAATGAACATTACACTAAAAAGCCCAAAGTATACTTCGGTTTTTACGTGTATGCGAGGGTCCACGTACAGTGCGCGACACAAATTTCGTCACCAGAATAATATGAGCATACTGTACACACACCACCCAATTTTTGTAACCTCGCCTACTTTGTATGTGCAGGTCACTGAATTAGTTTTGTACTAATCAGTTGTTCCACAAGGTGGCAACACTGGCTCCGGCCATTCTTTCATAGTACAAAATGAAACAAAAAAGACGGAATAACAACAACAAAATAGTATGCTTTGAAAGGCTATGTATTTGACTGTATGTGTTAGCTAGCGTACACGTACAAAAGCGAAGTATACTTTGGGCTTTACCGCCTTCACAAAGGAAATTTTGTTTAAAAGAGATGTTTGCGTACACCATGCAAATCTTGAAGATAACCAGAGATGAAGTACTGGTATAAAAAACCTAAAAAAAAAAATGATGAAGGGCTACTGCTAGGCTGCACTTTTTTACAGGTCACTTATCACCGGCGATATGCATTATATCTGCATTAGCCCTGATTGGAATGAAATTATCATTTAGAAGTTCAGCTTAATTACAATCAGTGACGGCTGGGAAGGGGGGCGGGCAGTGATTGCCCGTGACATTAAAATGTAATGAAGAATGGCGTGATGATCGTCAGAAACTCTGAGCTGTCGCTGTGTCATTCATCATGAACACGCCCTAGGGAGAGCGGTCTTCAGGTGACACAACATTAGCAGGGACAGAAACAGGTGCTACACTAGAGTTTAATTACTCTCCTCTATCAATAATACAGCGCAAATCCTTGCGTGGCTTCAGGCCTCAGCTGTACTGCTGGCCCACCTCTTCCTTCTCTCTTAATACTACCATACTACTATTTCTGCTGTATTCAGTATATAGACTGGTTACAGTATGCACATTTTCTGTATGTACGAAACACCCAGATTTGCCCTAAAGTGCAGTATATTATGCTTGGCTTGACCTTTCATTTCTAGTGTGACAAATGAACTGAAAATAATATCAGCTTAATTTTATATGAAATTTTCTATACTTATAATGTTAACTGCCAAAGGTAAAAATGTGCATCACTGCATGCATACTGTTTCACATACTATTTTAATAAGTATAACAGAGTGCATACAAATGTGTTGTTATTGTTAACTAAAACTAATTACAAAACAGATTACAAATCGTATATCAAATAAAGTTGAAATAAAATAAAAAAAATATTAGAAAACTTAAACTTAAACTTTTGCGAACAACTGAAAATAAGTGAGTTACATGAAGTACTAAAACTAAAATAAATATAAATTGAAGCTAGATAGAAAAAAATGACAAAAGCACATAAAATTACTAAAACTTTCAAATGAAAACTGAAAAGGCTAATTCAAAAAACATTAATAAATACTGCAATGGCATATAATACAAAAAAGGCATTTTCTGCACACTATGCAGTACTCTAGTATTCTATTCCAGACATATCTCTACAGCACTAGAGGTGCAACTAGTGATGTCTGTCTGATATGTGAATGAATAATTCTTTTGAATATGAACAAAAAGAATCGCTTCACAAAGTCCTGGCAGACTGCAAAAACTATTGTATTCAGGAATAAATTGTATTCTGGAATAAAATTGATAGTTGGATGAGACACTGAAATCACATTTTTTTTATTTATTTTTTTTATTCAAAATGCTGCACGGGGACTTCTGGGAAGACTTTTGAGGGATGACTCAAATCTGTTAATGGTTGGTGAACTTTATTAAGTCAGCATGAAAAGGCATTTGCAACTTGTTTAACTTTACATTTACATTTAGTCATTTTGCAGACGCTTTTATCCAAAGCGACTTACAATTGGGGACTTACATAAAGCGATTCTTCTTAAAGAGGCAAACAGACACAGGAAGTGCTTAGGCAAGTTTTAGGCATTGCTCAAATAAGTACAAGCTAGAAAAGGGAAGGAATAAATAAAGAAAAAAATATATATATTTTTTTTAAGATGAAGTCAAGTAGCGTTTAAAGAGATGTGTTTTCAGCTGTCGCTTGAAAATTGTCAGGGATTCAGCATTCCGGATAGGGGTGGGAAGATCGTTCCACCAGCCAGGAACGGTGAACGAGAATGTTCTGGAAAGTGATTTTGAGCCTCTCTGTGATGGTACCATGAGGCGTTGCTCACTAGCGGATCTCA